CCCAATTCTTTTTTTTAATAGTGCAATCAATATGGTACCGTGTACTTCATATCGAGATATTATCATATCGTGAGATTTTGATATCGTTACATCCCTAGTTACAGATGAATCATCATCATCAAAGTACGTGGTGAAGTATGTGAATCTGAAAGCAGCGTCAGCTTCCACTTGATTAGTTTTTTCTGTTCTTCTGCATCACTTTTACCTGTAAATCCTCCTTTACTCTTTTAGAGACAGAATGATGCTGCTCAAGCTGGAACAGGATATCCTGGATTTCATTAATGATGAGAAGTAAGTCTGTATAATAATTCATAATTAATTTAATTTACTTTACTCTGTCGTCTTTGTATATGGTATTTCTTGTTTGTTTTTATTGTGCGGTGTCCTTGAGTCTTGAGAAAGACGCCTATAAATAAAATGTATTATTATTATTAATTAATTAAAACAAATTAAATATATATGAACTTAAATATAATAATAACAATTAATTATGTATTTGTTTTAAGTATATGTATATAGTCTTTAAAATATTTAAATTTTATGTATCCAAATAGATGCGGTTGTAAAAATTTAAATTGGTTAAAAAAACGTTATTATTATTATAATAATAATAATAATTATTATATAATATATTAAAAATATCTATATTAAGTCAAAATTAAATTAAATATAAAATAATAATAGTAATAATATCTATATATTGTCTCATTATTTGTAAAAATGTATGCATGTAAATAGATGGTTGTAACAATTTAAATTTGTTAAAATGTATTATATATAATATATAATGAATAAATTGATATATTATGTACATTTTATTTATATAATAATATAATATATATATATATATATATAATTTTTTTTATTAAATATATAATAATAATAAAGTAATAATAAAATGACATCCAATCAAACTGACTGCATCCTTTTCCACATAAGCAGCGTGCATATGGGTGCATATAGGATGCGTGCTGCTGCCTCAGCAAATATTAATAGATTAAGCACTTACTAGCATGAAGAACAAATAGCCTGGCACAGAAGGTGCATAGAGATCAATTTAAGATTCAAACTCTTGATACAAAACATACCTTTTGCGAGTTCTTGTTTTTAATGTTGATAATAATATTGTACGAGCAAGAATGCAAATCCAAATATCGACACGATTGCAAATGTGACATTGATTTTATACAACCGTTCAACAAACAAAAGGGTAAAATTAAGTGATGTTCTTCACAGTATTGTCAGTATTTGCTCTATTTTGTATTGAAATAATAGTTCAGCAGAAATGCAACACACAGCGGTGTTTCGTGAACGGATCAGTGGCTTTGAACGAATCGTTCGTGAAAGTCATTGATTCAATGATTCGTTCATTAAAGCCACTCTAAAACGATTGAGAACCACTGGTGTAGATGATATTTGTTGCCCCCTTTTGGTGGATTGTGAGTATTGCAGTAGTGTGGGTGTTTTGCTCTATTACTTAGGATAGTTTTTATTAAACAGTTAATTTCAGTTTTCTCTATTATTATTATTATGGTGAAGGGTGGTGCTGCTGTGATAAATGCGTCGTCGTTTCTTTGTACTAAGGTTGTTTTTGCATCTGTTTTTTCAGTAATCAGTATAAGAAGTTTCCTCAAATGACCTCATATCATCGCATGCTGCTGCATCGGGTCGCTGCCTACTTTGGCATGGATCACAACGTGGACCAAACCGGCAAAGCGGTCATTATCAACAAGACCAGCAACACACGCATGTAAGACAGCGGTGGATGATGGGAGTGATAATGATGCATCGTCTGTTAAAGTAATCAGACTCTGTGTGTTTCAGCCCCGAGCAGAGGTTCTCTGAGCACATTAAAGATGAGCGCAACATGGACTTCCAGAAGAAGTTCATCCTGAAGCGAGACGATGCCAGCATGGATAAAGACGATAATCAGGTTTGTGAGTCGCACCGTTTCACTCTTGCATCACATTTCGGTCGTGCATCTGATTGTCTCGCGTCTCAGATCCGGGTACCGCTGCAAGACGGCCGGCGCAGTAAGTCCATCGAGGAGCGAGAGGAGGAGTACCAGCGCGTCAGAGATCGCATCTTTGCACGAGAAGTAAGAACACAGGCTTGCATGCAAGCGTTCTGGTCAAATTTCAATTCAGTTATTTATTTGTATAGCGGCTGTCGTAATACAGATTGCTTCAAAGCAGCTTTACAGAAAATGCATGTTTCAGTGATACACAAAAGCTGTTATCTGGTGTCTGTGGAACATCATAAGAGTTTTTGAATAATTAGTAGTTCATCTGTCAAGCTCAAAAATACAAAAAAATAGGGCTGGGACTCGGCCTGGGCGATAACACGGTATCGATATTTATCGACGGTACACCTTCTTCGAGAACGATATTAAAAATGTTTGAGATAGGCACGTGCTCTGAGTGACGCAGACAGCACACACGCACATGAGTGCTGTGCTGCCTGTGATGAGGCGATTGTGAGTAAAAAAATTTATATTAGTCGAATTTAAAATAAACATTTGCATTTGAATGCAAAAATAGTACAATCGAATGTGGAGCACGAGATGCGCAGTTGCTGCGTTATGCATTCAAAATATTAGAGAAAATCAATATTTTTATTATTTTAAGTTTTTGCGAATTGCTGATCTAACTAATGCTGGAATACAGTGTTACAATTTAACATATATTAATGTTCAAGTATCAATTAGTATCAAGTAACAACTGTTTTCAATATCTATTTCTATTATTTATTTCATTAAATTATCTTTACAAAAAAGCTGAATGCTAGAAAATACTTATAATTTAACAATTTAATGTTTTTTAAATTAGAGATTTATGGCTATGATTTTTTAAAGCTCTGATGTATTTAATGCTGGAATACAGTTTTACAATGTAACAATTTAACGTTCAACTCTAACTATTTTAAATATCAGTTTTTAATAAGATTTCTATTGTTTTATTTTTATATATTTAAAAAGCTGTGAATTAACAATTTAATGTTCAACTCATTTTAATTGATGATTTCACAGCTAGCACAACTCGTTCTCGTCAAAAACCCTTCATCTATGTATCTGTCTGTAGATAATGTAACCTCAGTGAGACGTTTACATCAGAACATTAGTGATGAATACATCACACGAAAACAAATGCAAAGCTTGAAACGCACATGCGTGATCAATGATGATCTGTCCGAATCACAGCAGTCCTTCCTTTAGTACTGTAATGATGTAGAATGAGTGTGCTTTTCATGTGTCGGTCCCCACACACACACACACACACACACACACACTCTCTCTCTCTCTCTCTCTCTCTCACACACACACTCACACACACACACACTCACTCACTCACTCACTCACTCACACACGCTCACGCTCTCACAAACACACGCTCACGCTCTCACAAACACACGCTCACGCTCTCTCTCTCTCACACACACAAACACACACTCACTCACATACACACACACTCACTCACACACACACACACACACTCACACACACTCTCTCACTCACACACACTCTCTCACTCACACACACACACACACACTCTTTCTCACACA